GGTTAGTTTGCACAGGTATTGTGTAGGGCTATAAGCAAAAACCAACCCTCCATGACCTGTTGGTGTTTGATTTGTACCTAACCCTTTCTGATTAGGGAACTCGAAAATAAAGTCACGTGGGAATGAAAAATTATAGATGTTAGACAGCTCTTTTTAGCTATACGTACAAACAAATATGAAACATCAACAACATATTCCGAAGAAGAAAAACCCCCGCAAAAAAAAACATCTATAAAAACTGTCAGCCTGTGGAATTTGGTTTTTGGTATCTTAAAACGTAAAAATACCAGAAGTTCGGTCCATCACTTTCTTTAATTGTGGCTAACTTCTAGAATTCTTTACAACTCCAGAATCAGTGGAGTATAAATAACCTGTCCTTGGTCATAAATTCTTGTAATGACGCAAATTCTTTACACAATTAGTTCAGACGAAGGCCGTTTAGATGAATCAATAGTGGCTGCACTCAGTATCTGTCAAACCTGCACGGGAAGTACTACATTACTTGATTCTTCTTAAATCACAACAGATCTACATTATTTAAACTCCCTCCCTCAGTGAAGTCTGAAAACCTTGCCAAAGAAACACAGACTAATGGACATGGAAAAAAGGAAGGGAAGGGTTTCGTCTGGACCTAAAGCGACTAGAAGGAATGCGGATATAGTGCAAAAACCAAAAGTGGGCTTTGCGCTTTATCAAATGAAGAACATGAACGCGATATTGAAATAGGGAAGAACATATTAGGGGACTTCAAACGAAGTTTGCAGTTGATATTGTCGAAAAATGGGCAGATAAAGAAAACTTCTGCGGCACTCAAAGGTAAGAATTTGTACAAACACAAAACACGACTGTATAAGGAATGAATTGATGATTCAGGAGAATATCACACCATTCGCACACACCCAAGCATTCCGAGCTACAACTTATCTATTTTTTTACGATTCTACTCGCCTGGTTTGCTACAATCGCAGAAGATCAACCAAGTTAAAAGGCCACGAACTTACGAAAATATCGGAGACGAATTCGAAGGTTGATAGAAAAGTGTGCATGAATCTATTTAGAAATTCTTTCAAGCGAAAAGCGAGATTGAGAAAAACAAGCATCAGCCTCAGTGGCGCCTTGAACATCGGCCATGAACCCCTTTCCACAAATAAACAAACACTATAGATATAAAACAAAAGTTTGAAGGCAACAGAAAAAGAATTCTAACGGCGCAAAACCACGATCACTTGGGGGGCTATTGATTTAATGTTCTCGAAGTAAACGAGAGGAATTTCATCATTAATCACGCGGAGACTAGTCAGTTGACAGGAATTGTGATAGAGAACAACTGCCAAGCTGAGCCGTCCATACATTTGGCGGAGAGAATGATTTCTCCACATACCACAGGCTTATTGTAATATGACAATCGCCAAAGCTGATCTACAACAGGCCATTAGATTCGCTTCTTATCAACAGATAAAAACCATTACAGAGAGTTCGAGAGGGCAGTTGCCTTTGCTAACGCCGAAAAATGGTGTAAGCAAGTGATTGGCGAAATAAAACGACTGCAAAAATCGGCAAACGCCATATGGACGAACTAATTAGTAGCCTTAGAACAAGCAAAAAACGACGAGAGCAAGGCAGATACATAAAGAAACGATTTCTGAGTGCCGAGTGGAAGACGTAAAACAATGAGAGCCTACTCATACAAAGGAATGAATAAAGGGTTGCCGAAAATGAAGATGTTTCTCATAGATCTCATTCAAGAGGGAACAGCCAAATAAAATATTGCCTGGAACGGGAAGCCAGCACTGAGTTTGGCAAAAAGCTTTCCAATTCAGCCAGTAGCCAACATATGAATCATGTTTCATGCTGCAGAAAAAAAAAACATCAGCCAAAAACAAAAAAATGAAACTATACCTATCATACTCCTATTCGGATTAGGCGAAGGCGATGGGGATGGCGGATTTCGTTTGTTTCTTGACAACAATTCCGAAGAACCCGCCAGTTGAGCACGATCTGCTCGTAGTTGAGCACTCAACGATGTGAACGGTAAATACCTAAACAAGTACAATCAGCAAGCTTTACAGTGGGAAAGTGAAATTATGCAGATAAACAAAACAACAAGACAATAACTGAACAGTGAGTGACCAAAGAAATGCCCGAATTATCAACAATGCCGGAATACTTCCACGAGAAATACGCCAGTCAAAAAAACTGAAGATCAACCATGGCATGTTCAGCGTTCTTTGGCCCAACTTTCTCCACTTCGATAGCTTGATCNGCAAATGAAGCCTAACGTAGAAAGGCCAACAGCAGATTTGACAGAAGGGAGGTGTCAAATGGCTGTCGGCTGCGCGATGTTTGTGAAGATCGTCGACGGATAAATTGCGGACAGCGGGCTGACAGTGGCGATTGAGCGTCGATATAAGGCAGTGCAGTCAATGCGATCTGCATCGTGATATCCTCGCTCGTGAAATCAACGGGAAGTCACCCAGCTTAAAGATAATCGAGTCGTTTTCCGGATCCTGCTCACTAATTTAAGCTAATTTCGCCGCACACCAAAGAAGGATCGATTCTTGGTGAAAGGAGTTACTGTTCCAGTGAATCCCATAAAGTTGTTAACCTACTCGAAGCAATAACCAGAGGTAGACAGACCATCAGAGACCGATTCCTGTTTGAAGCCAATTGACGCTAATAAAATCTCTCCCTTCAGCCATATAAAGGAATACAGCGAATGAGAACAAATAAAATTGTGAGTAAAAACTGGGGCAAGGTAGGTATAAGTACATAACCAGGAATCTATTACTTCAGAGAATTATTCAGTCTGATAAAAACCCTTCAATGAACTGACCTATTTGATATGCGATCCTTGGCTAATTTTGTCTGAGCAGCTCTCGATTGAAGAAGTAGCTGTTCATCTAATGCGGCAGAGAGTGGATATCTGAAATCAAGCAAATAAAAAACTCGAGCTGGAAAAACGGCCGGTTCACAGCTGATCGACTGATGGCTATCCGCATTTACAAGCAATTTTATTTAAAG